ACAGAACATAATGGAAAAACACCAGGTAATTGATTCACAATTCTTATGTAACAATTTGCTTTGTGTAAACAATTTAAATACTCATTCAGTGATTTTATAAAGGAACGAGAGATTGTGAGAACATTAGTGTCATCTGTGTGTACCTAATAACATTTTAATGTTGTAATTGACCTTCACAAAACTCTGAAGTAAGTATTGTGGGGCATACCAGTGCTATAATTGTGTAAAAGTCTGAAATTTGTCAATTTATAACATTGTGATTGTGTTAGATGTTTAGTGGTATGGATTAAGGTTGAGTATTAAAAGGGTTCCAGGTGTACTCCTATATGCTGTCACAAATATTGACAATGATATTGAAAATATATCTGTTAGTATGATGGCAATACTTGAATGATAAGAGTGGAATCAGCTCCCAAATAATGTCACATATATGAAATATACCTCATCACAAAGGCATGCAGTGTTCTCCCCAACATATATTATACACTGGAGGTGTAAACGTTTGGTGCTGGAGAGACTCTAGAGCCATCTAATGTAGAATTTTAAAATGTTTCATAATAAAATATAAGTATTATTGAAATGAAATTATCATGGAAGTTAACAGTAGCTTTATCAAGTAAATGTATAGAGTGGAGTCATTATTTAGAAGCTGAATAGACAGTCAGATTCCCTACCTCCATACCCTTCCACCTTATTTTCTTATGATCTATTTTAGTTGATAATAGCTTTACAGGTAACACTGTTCACATCATGACATCATTACAGCTTTGTTGGTTAACATATGTTTTTCTCCAAATGTCCTCCAGTGGATGAAATGCATACTGCATACATGAACTAAAGTGAATTTATAATTTCAAATTAATTTCCTATATGAAGAATAGTATTCTTCAGTATTTTATGTTGCAGTGATTACAGATGGTAATAGAAGTTTTATTTTTATACATCACCTTGTTTTGTTCTAGAAAAGTCCTGAACTGAGAATTGCTCAGAAGAAACTTGCTGAACAGGTGTTGCTTCTTGTTCATGGAGGTACAGCAGTGTTTGTATTAATTTAATTGTGAACATGAAATAGGTGAAAGGATGAGCACTCACAAAAATAATAATAGAAACATTAAATAACTATTGAAACTTGTTACAATGGGACCTGCTATTAATGTAGTCCCTGTATATTACAGTTTAAGATAGCTAGTAACAAATTCCATTTTATTACCAGAGGAAGGACTTGAGATAGCCCTGAAGGCCACATCTGCCCTTTATGACCAATCTGCCAAGAGTTTACTGGAACTGAGAGCAGAAGACATTGGAAGTATGTTTGAGGGAGCAAAGGTCTGTGAGCTGCTGTTACAGCCAGGTACAACTACGCTAGATGTGGCAATGCAGGCTGGATGTTTTGCCAGTGAAAGTAAGTACTCTGTTTCTAATGGAATCCAAGGAATGTGACCATTCCCCCTGTTCCATACATGTTTATATTTAACAAAAGTACTTCATTTATGTGACCTGTCTGATGTTCAGCAAAGTCTGATCCCTTGGGATTTTAGTTCCAATGGCACCACATGTGTGAAAAGAAATTTTCTATTTCTGTAATGCAGTTACATTAATTTCTATAAGCAATTTGTTTCTTAGTCATTTGAATTAAGGTTTTTAATTTTGTTTTATTAATATATTCATTTAATTCATTCAGATCTATATCACTGCTTAGTAAATGATTACATGCCATTGGGGAAGCAGAGTTACAAACAGAAGCTTCTTCTTTCAGGAGATGCAGTGAGAATCATATCTGCTGGAGGTTTTTATATCAATTACCAACGAGTTACTAAGATAGATGAAGTCTTAACTGAAGCAGCACACATATTACCTAACAACGTCACATTAATTAGAGTTGGTAAGTGAATACTTCTCCTAAAACATTTTATTTAAGATATTAGCAGTGCTAATGTGTCTACATGAATTATACACATATAACAATTATGAGTGTTATCTACATATGTACAGTGATCTGCAGACCCATAATTCCATATGATAATCATGAGCGACAAATCCTGGTCTTTAACTTATAATTATTTAACTCTTGCGATTAAAATGTTATGTAAGTTGGAATGAAATAACAGACAAATGTTGGAGCAGTAAGATAAAGGTAAGTTGTCACTGGTGCTTAATTAGTACCCATTGGACAGGAGGCTTAGTGGGCTCCAGAGCTGGTTGGGACACATTTGTGGTGAAGAGACAAATCTCTGCCCGTCCCTGGAATTAAACCCCAGTCATCCATCCAATGTGTAATGTAGTCATTACACTGAATGAGCTACCAGAGCTCATGTATTGGTATAGTCTGTCTAAACAGTATGAACACATGTAGTTCATTACATTAATAAGTTTTGATATGACTGCCTTATAGGATGTTGCACCACGTAGTGTGGTATAAACTGGCTGATGTTTCATAGATGCTTACTACCTCCATTATTAGGGCCTGATCATTTCCCTGATGGTGGAGGCAATAACCATCTGTGAAATGGTTGTTAATTTCTGTCAGACCACCTTTGTTCTTGGTCATGTTTTGTATCATCACAGGCAAGAAGAATTACTACATTGTCAAATGGTTGAAGTGAACCAATTTATTGGACAACACACATGTTAGTGCACAACTACACAGGTCAAGCTGGCTTTAGTTGGAGTGTATTCAGAGCCTTCGTAAGAGGGATCATAAGTGGAGGAAAGTCTGTGAGCAGGGATTCCAGTATGGATATGAGATCAGCATTTATTGTCTTCTGGTGCCGCATCTCCACATCCAGTGACTGCTCACTGCGGAAAAGCAGGTGGTAATGTCCAGACTTGATGTCATTATACATCCTGGTTTTGAATTGTCGTCGGACCAGTACTTCCAAGTTCTGTGAACAGCATGAGCAGATTTGCATGGTTAATAATATTTATTAAAAATCAAAATATTTAAAACAGGTTAGTCAGGTTTTTGTTTTAAACCCTGATATGAACTCAAAACAGCCTGGTGCTACTGGTGTATACCAAAAAATATACTTAAGTAGGGTATATCATACATTTATTCATTGGATCATATGACCTATTTAACTTTATTTGTGAATCTGGTCTATGAATTGACATAATTTAATCAAAATCATTAAGAATTATAGAGATTGACTTCCTAAGCTTTCAAAGACCGTACTTTTTGCCGTTGCAGTTTCCCTTCCTCCAATTGTACATCTAGTTTTCTGGTTGTGTCCTCCAGCTGTTTCAACTCATTCTCTTTGTCCTTCACTTGCTGAATCAGCTGGTCATGTCGCTGCTGTGCAACCTTGGTCTGGTGCTGAAGTGACTTGATTTCCTGCAACCAGGAAGGTACACTAGCTAGCGTAACTCTGTTGCACATTGTCTTTCTTGAAATGTTCATAGTTCCTTAAGTGGTAAAGGAATTTCCTACTTTTATGTGTAATCTAAAGGTTCAGTACCTTATATAAAAAGCCCCCCCTCACCAGTTGGTTCGTGTTCTGAACAACTGGCTCCAGTCTGCATTCTTTCACTGTATTGCTTTAAGAATAATTTTAGTATTTTTCTCCCATCTACATTTGTTAAGTTGTCTTTTCCTTTGCAGTTTTCAATTTAAAATTGTGTGTGCATTTCTTATCTCCCCCATGGAACCTGCATGTCTCATAATAATATTAGATAGAGTATAAATATGAAACATTGCAAATACAAACAAAATTGCAATGTCATAGCCAAAGATACAGTGTTTGAGCTGTGTTTTCCGTGGCCAACACCAGTTTTAGAAGTCACAACATACACTGTTCACATGCTTGATCTTGTTTTGCATATCCTCCAGTTTCTTCTGAAAGTTGTGGCGAGTGCTGTGGGTGCCTGTACAGGCAGCTTCTGCCTGCACAACAATTGCATCACGCTTTGCAACACTTTGCTCAAGATCTCCAATCAGCTTTTCCTGAGCTTTGCGCAGCTGTGAATATCTGACCTGCACAACAACATTACAATATTTTTAACCCTTAATTTCTAACCTAAAGGCTTAAAGAATTTGGGATTGTATGCTGAGCTGTAACACATTATTCAGACAGTGAAAATACCTGCATACGGTGGATTTCAGCTTTCATGGCCACCATGTCACCCTCTTTTCCTTTCTCATACTGAGTGTTCTGCTTGGTTTCCTGTGCTATCTGCAACTTCTTCTCCCAGGCCAGAAATTCCTGTTGTTTTTCTAGCAGTGACCCTCCGAGTTGAATTTTTTCTTGCTCCAGATCATGGATTTCTGACTTCAGCTTTACAGCTTCTAACTCTGCATCCTGTAACAAAAGAGTACTCTTTATATTTGTAGTCATAATTTGTCTATAGCAAGAATATGAAACAAATATGTGAGGTTGAGTTTTGCAGTGGTGGAAATGAGAACTATGGTCTTCTGTATTATGACACCATGTAGTGTCATATGTGGGTACCAACTTTATTCAGGAATATGTCTCCATCTTCAGGGTAGAATGTATAAGCTATATGACTACACAGCATCATAACCCAAAAGACCACAGTCCTTATTTGAAGCTTATTCCCGCATTCCATGAATGAGAATGAATTACAACAAAATCATGTATCCTGACTGATTATATGGCAATAATCAGAAGTGAACCCTTTTTTCATGTGTTATAAATTAGTTTTCCTGATGCTGCCAAACTAATTTAAATCCTTTAGATTGGAATCAAACTGTCATAATATATTTCACGATGTTATGTTTGCAAAACTTGTGTTGCTTGCACAATTGCCATGTTTGTATAACTGATGATAGGACATTAAAAACTGTAGAGATGGTGTATGCCTAGTGGTATGATGTGCATACTGAGTTTCATGAAAATCTTTGTTATTGGTTCAAAAGTTAGGGGCATGGGGGAGGTGGTAGTCACTGGGTTTGTCTCTCTATCTAAACTAAGGAAAGTAGGTTAAAAAATATTTTTTGTGCATAGTGGTAATAATTATGTACCATCAGGGCTCTGTCCTGTTGAAGCTGTACATAGTGGATATTGAATTACTTTCAAGAAGAGATGTACCTTGAGTACGCTCATGTAGTAGGTCTCTGTATACAGGTTCTCCTTGTCCAGTATTTCCATATATTCCTTCCTCTCGCAGAGTTTCAAGTTCAGTGACAGCAGTTTCTTGTTGAGCGAGGAAATCGAATGGTTGAGTACCTTGTTCACCTTTTTTTGGCAATTAATCTGATGCTCGATCTTCAGGTTTTTTTGATCCAGAATGAGCACCTCTGTACAAAATAGCAGAAACAATTCAAATCTGAGATAAGAAAACATTAGAGGACCCAAAATCTCAAGAGTTGAAGATATAAATATAGATTAATTGCAAGATTGAATGAACTGTGACTTATTCACTGGTGCACAGAGAGATGTTTATTGCTGTCTCTTACGTTTGTGCGTGAGGTTTATGTTGTGGACTTGCTCATTCCTTTGGTTTGCGAGTTTAACAGTAAGAGTCTGCTGCTGTAACCAAAACTGCTGCAGCTCCTCACATTTCGCTATTGTTTTTGTGATGTTCTTCTCTAGGGCTTTAATTTTTATCTCTTGAGGGCTTAGGTATTCATCCTGTAACAACAGTGTCCATAAAATAACAGAGACATTTGGAAACAAAGTTCTATGTATTTGTAAATTGTAGGAATTGCAGTTTTCATGGGAGTGAGTCTGAAGATGGCTGTCTTCTGGGTTGTTGCGCCGTTTAGTCTGGTAGAAGTTTACCGACATTTCAGAAGACAGCCATCTTCTGGTTGTAATTGTACTGAACTTCTCGCTACAATACTTAAAATACAAATGTGTTATGAAAAACTAAACCAGCCAAATGATAGTTATAAAAATTAAATGTTATCATTTTTGCATTGCCACCATGTAGTTACTTTTATATTTTTCTAAGAAAAAATGTAATAAAAAGTATCATGGTCTGAAAGATCTATCACGTAACAACTTCAACATATACAATGAAAGATTCTACCTTTACTCCCAAATCACAAACTCATAACAATGGTATTCATGATGATAAGGAGTTACAGATTACAAAGATCCAGTGGCAAGAGGTTTGTACCAGGTTTAATGAAAGCCATTTTCTTTAGGTCCATAATACTGATATCCCATTTTGAATTAAGGAACAGGCACATGTGGTCTCCAAAGAACAAGTTCTCATCTTCAGGAACCCCACATATACAGCAGTTAATGTGGACTACACTTACTCCTGATTTTGGAGTTAGTTGCTCCAGTTTCTTCCGCAAGCTGTCCACGGTTCCCTGTTTCTTGTGTACTTCAAACTTGCTCTGATGCAGGTCACTCTGTAGGCTCTTCAGTTCCTTTTCTTTTGTTTCAGTCTGCTTCTTCAAGTCATCCAAAACAATATTTGTTTGCTCATTCATCCCCTTCTGATGATCCAAATCTTTACTAGTCTGTGTCAGCTGGTTCACCACATTCACCACCACAATTTCCTAAAACAGGATGACACTTTAGGAGTAGTAACGATGTTCTTCTGGACCATGTGATGGCGGTATTCAGATACCTTAGTACAGTGATCAAGCCATGATGCTGTTCCATTGGCACAGGTTATGTCATTAAATGAAATGGAAGAATGAAGATGAATGATAAGCAGATAACAATTTAGGGGGCAGTGATTGTGGCCTATTTCAAGGTACCAGTCCAGAATTCAGTTGGAAGAGTAGCCAGCAATCTGGCTGAGACTTGAACTCAGGATCTCCCAGTAACCTCTCATCAGCAGCAACAGACCCCAGTTTGAATATTTCAGGCTCCTGCCGTGACAAAACCCCCGTTAGCATAAGCAAACTCCTGTTTTAGTTTTAAGGCTCTGTTTACCATTTCCAGCAATGCATTTTGTACGCAGGAATGGTGTTATCTAGCAAGGGACGATGTCTTGCGCTTGCACAGGACTCCGACCTTAGTTAGCTTTTTGGTTGGTTGGTAAGTGTACCAACACTAATTCAAAGGTCAGCGCGAGCTTGAGACTGTCGAAAGTCTCTTGCTAAGTGCTGATTCATTCAAATTTTACATTCTTTCTGAGCTGAAGATTGCTTAAAGGTTAGTATCAGTGGTTTCATTTTAGGAATGCAGTGCTGGACACTTCATTGTCTGAGATATATTTGATGAACATAGCATTTTGTGAGTTGGCTGTACCCTTGTCTTCACATGACTGGTTGCCATTATACTGAAAGATTTTTTAAAACTTTTTATTTTGATATAAGTGGCAATGGTTGGGATCAAAACCATGGCCTTTTGGATAATAGGCTAGCCCTAAAGTGATGAAAAATCTGTCAGAAAATTGTCAATGAATCATCTGAAGGTGGGAGTACAGCCAACTCCCAAAATGTGTATATCAAAGATACTTTATAACAATGTGTAATATATGATTCTTTTAAAGCAATTGAGAATGTAATATAGTTTCTGCTCCCTTCATGCTATGAAGCATGTTACACAAAAAGACACACATTACTATAACACAATAAAGCATGCATTTCCTACCAAGATGCATACTATGAACCAGCTAAAATCGGTAAGAATTACTAATTCTGCTGTGATACCTTGTCCCTGATTTTGTCCCTGAGTGTTTGAAGCACTTTGTTCAAGTACTTCGATGCTTTGTCCTGTGTGATCTGATCCTGCAGCTTTGCCAGGATTCTATCCTCCAGAGCTACTTTCTCATTCACAAGCCTTTCCACCCTTTTCTGCAGCATCTTATTTTCATGTGAATTCTTGTGGTAAACCTGTAACACCGTGATCATCAGAGGTGGCCAGACATACAGCAGGTAGAAGATGATATTGTGCTGTGCGGTCTGGTAGAAATTGTTTAACATTTCAGGAGAACTTACTGCCTTTATCATCAGGGCAATTACTCTGTTTAAAAAAAGATTAATTCATAGTTTGTAGATACACTTATTATGTAGCTCCATGTGGAATTTAACATTATTAGCTCTAATGGCTGTAAGGAGCAAAAGATGGTACTTTTATTGTGACACTCACCAACATGACTTCCTGCACATCCTTATCTGTTTGTTCCAGCATGTTGTGAACAGATGCCAACTGTATCTCTAAAGCACCTTTTTTCCCTTCCTCTACAGCAATCAAGCGCTTCAAATTTGCTTCTTCTGAGTGAATTTTCTTTAGAATTATTGTCAGGTGTTCATTCTTTAACATTTCCTCAACTGAAGCCTTCTTGAAGCCTTCAATTTCGTTGATCAGTGTTTGCAGTTGCTGCTTAACTTTGCTGCAAATTATAAATAAAACTGCAGCATAATAAAAGACAAATTGTATGAGACTTGAGATGTTCCTGTAGCAGTAAAAATTCACCATAAGGTCTGCTGGTTATTCCTATATGTTGAAATAGTAAAAATTTGACTCTTAAGGACCTGGTCTGAAGCAAAGGTTGACATGGCACTAGATCCACAAAAATGTACTATTACTCTAGCACCTTTATGTAAACACAAGCAACACAAACCATTGTAAAATGCAATCACGATTTATGTTTTGAAATTCATAGCTAAAATTTATTTTAATATTGTCATCCTATGCATGCAGGAAACATAAAATGAGCTGTCACTGTTTTCTTCATTTCTCATCTGCAGTTGGCTGTACACATGCAGCAGTTATTTTACCTCCTGTTCATTTGTGATGTGTTTAACGATGCTATCAGTGGCTCAGACTGTATGCCTTAAATGCTATGATTATTGATGAAATTGGAAAGGATTTGGAAGGAAGTGGTCATGGCCTAATTTAAGGTGCTTTCCCAGAATTTACTTGATGAATTTCTTTGTTTGCCACCATTGCATCCAGACAGGCTTAGCCTCGTCCTGTCATCTAATGCAGAGATCTAAAATGTGTACAGTTTTATTTCCATGTAATTTAGACACAATCATAGAGCACATAAAGGCAAGGATGGGAGAATTATATTAAACTAGACTTTACATTTGTGCTTATGTGGACTGCGATGAACTAACTCAGATTTGCTCCAATGGATTATATTCTATGGTTAATAGTGTTGAACCGTCATGTTCTAGTACCAGAGAATTGGTTTAGTAGATTATTCAGTACAAGATTACTCTAAGACCCTGATACTGATTTTGTCACATTGAATTACTTGTAATCTTGCATGACACTCATATAGATTTTGTCTCTCTGCTGTATGCTGATAATCACACTACTCCATGATTGCATGAGACGATGCTGCTCTCTGTCCAGTGTCTCAAGATCTGCGTTTGTATCAGCTACAGACTGACCCACTTTGTTCTTCTCTAACTCCTTCAATTTTAACAGTCCACTGAGGTTTCTGTTCTTTCCCTGTAGATTTTCTACCTCAGTCATCAGCTTGAAAATGAAAATGTCCTGGAAAAGAACTGTGTGATAAGAATCTTATTACTAAGTGGATACAATTCATGCAGATTGTGTTATTAAAATCAGGGTCTATTCCTATGCAGTCAATAATTATGCATTACTCGAACATTTTCAAATGAACGCATAATGGCAGGTTGTGTGTATCTGAATGTCATATCTCCTAAACCATAGAGCAGATTATGATTAAATCTAAAGGATAGAGACCAGCGGTGGACTTGTGAACATGGTAATGAATTTTCGGGTTCCATAAAAGGCATAGATTTTTTAGTCTAGCTGAATGAATATCAGATTTTCAACAATGACTCTGCTCCATGTAGCTAGACAGCACCTATTTTGCATAAAGCTAAACTCTGTTAATTTTTTAAAAAAATTTTTTTATAAAGGACTGATACATTACATAACATATAGATCTCATGAATGTCTATAGCTTATATATGAAACATTTTTGATTTGGTGAATATTTATTGAAATACAAGGAACAATGAACTCTGACTATATGTGATGTGATTAGTGTTGCATTAATAGATTGCATTAAGGACAGTTATATATGTAAAATTACAAGAAAATGAATCTGGGAAATATGTGTACTGCAAACTGGAGGAAATCTGGAGTATCCCATCATATGCCACATAAAGGCTTACCTCAGAATCTGACCTGACTAAGAATCCTGCATACAAACTGTGTTGACGGTTATATATATACATTTTAATACCTGTTTTTGCATCTCCTTGGTGAACTGTTTTTTATCAGTCTTGGTCTTCTCAGAAATTCTCTCTGATGAAGCTAGTTTAGATTCTAATTGTTTCTCCCAGTCTGCAAATTTCTCTTCCAGACACACCAGATTTTCCAGCTCTGTCCGCACATCCTCCTCTGAATAAACACAGAAACCTACTTTGTAACTTCCCTCCCATAAAACTGAGTTTTAATCACATACTTTCACATGAAAAATTGTTGCACTTTAATCCAAACATAAAAAATTAATTTGTGACAATTCTGACAAACCTCAGTGTTAAAATGTGGGGCCAGAAAAGTGAACTGGATGAGGGAAAAGGGGATACACATAGAATTTTGGAAAAGAAACCTCTTAGAAGATCATGAAGAAGATGGAAAGCTGACATTATAATTGATCATAGGGAAATGAAACAGTTTGTAAGAATGGGACATGGATGAACAAGCACAATATTGTGTCAAACAGTGGGCTTCATTATGGGTGGTATTATCCTTCATTGGCTATGCTTCATGGCATATGCACAGTCCAGTTGGCCATGCAGTGCACTAGCATACTGCTAAATCATTGAACTGCAGAATTGAAGCCAGCCAATAACTCCATAGTATAGGGTTTCACATTCCCTGTTCTTGAATGATAAAGGTTAAGCCTTTGAGTTCTGCTATCAGAGATATAGTTATGTGTAATACGTGTGTCTCTATTGAAGAATCATAACCTTCCTTCTGTGCATTGTTGAGCTTTTCCTGCTCAGACTTGTATGTGTTTCTGCATGTCTCTACTTGAGCCTCTATTTCTTGCCTAATTTTTGTAATATTGGCAATTGTCTTGTGGTAGTTGTCAGTGACACTCTGCTGCCTCATCACATTTTGTTGTACGTCATATATGTTTAGTCCCAGTTTTTCACACTCCAGTTTCTGATTCTTGATTCCTGCTTCCTGCAAGAATGTGGAGATAAATTTATTCCTTTTCTTATATTTGTAAATAATTATTTTATTGTGCAATGATATATGATATTTTTAATTTATATTTAATGATATAAAATTAATTTATCCATGGATAATAATATGGGGTATAAAGATTATGAAAGAAAAATGCCATGTTTCTCTATCTCATATAACCCTTCGTTTACAGGTAAGGAGAAAGTGTGACAAATCATTGTTTGCATAATATGATAACATGATGATTATGGTGATGATAACAACATATATTCTGCTTGAATGAGTCTTCACCCTACATGGTTCTGCTAGGAAACTACAGATTTTTTTTTAAACTTGCCATCTTTCAATTGGTAGCTTAAGCCCTCCAAGTTTAAGTAGGTCTTCTTGAATTTGTTGAAAGACTCACGGGTTACAAGCCATATCTTCTGCCAACGTTTCGAGAACAATCTCTGCTCTCAAAACGTTGGCAGGAGATTTGGTTTATTCACCATTCAGCCACCTGATGTGGTTTATAGCCCGATAGTCTTTCATCAACTTCATTCGCTGTGAAAGCTTCACTTTATACATTAGGTCGTCTTGAATGTTAGTAAGTATTGTTCTACAATACTGCAGTTTACTGAGATGAGAAAAACTGTCAATAGTTATGAATTTCTATAACACATTTTTGGTAGTTATATTGAAATGAACAGCTGCACTTCAGAGATTCTGTATATTTCTTTGTAGATCATTTTAATGATATTCCAGTGAGAGACTATGTATTATCAAACACTAGGTGAGACTAGGGTATTGAACAATGAGGAGAGGATACCTAGTACCACAGTTGCTTGTAGAAACTTAAGATGGTCCATTATCCTGTAAAATTTGAATTAGTTATCCTATTTCATGGAGTTGTTCTATATCATACTATTAAAATTAGTCAAATACTACACAATATCATAATTAATGTAATTCATATTTGTATTAGAAAAAATGTTACACTTGTATTTTGTTTAAACCTATTAATTTTTTGGAGCATTGCTATACAAGACCAGGTGGAAGAAGTGCAATTGTAATGTTCTTGTATTTTAGAATGCATCCCTAGCACCAATTGGGGTCTGAGTGAGTAGTCAGATGATAAATAAAGATATTCGTGTATAGTAATATTACAAAGAATATTCATATTGTTATTGGACTCACAAGTTTGAGGATTTCTTCACTTAGGCGATTATACTGCCGTGTTAAGTGGTCCTTTAGGGCAACCTGAAATTTTTTCATTAATGGGTGGTCAGGCTGAAGAACCTCTGGCTCATTATCCCCACCTTGAAGGCCAGAGACAAGACTTGGTGTTTGTTCATGTCTCATGTCCTTATCATCATGAGCCAACCGTTGATTCCTGGGGTCTACATCGTCATGATTCTCTTCACTTCTATATGTAAGGTGTGGGTAAGAATGAGTTGAAGTGGCAGCTGTCTTCGACTCCGACATATTGTGCTCATTAATCACTAGAAATTAGAAACCCCCAAACTTCCAGCTTTTATATACCTCACTGCATGTATTTCATTATATCAGTACATATACATATTACTTTAACCTAACTTCGTATTTGTTTACGTAGTAACCATGACAACGAAAATTAAAAGCAGCAGAAAGGAATAACACCGAAATAAAATGGAAAATTCCCGATGTTATGCGGAAGGAGTCGAATAAATCCGAGAGGATTGACATTCAGCTAGGTTGATCACTCCCAAGGAAGATATTTCTCAATAAATCGAGGGGCAATTAACATTTAGGGATTTATCCTATTACAGTTACGTGCTTTATAGACTTCGATTTTTCCCTGCGCGTTTATGGTTTGTGTCTGTGTACATTCCAGCGTGAATAATACGATAAGAAGAAGTGCAAGTCAAGTAAACATGATGCTGGTATTAATGCTGGAAAACGACTTGGATGACCATATTTAAATAAAACAATACCGAATGTACCAGTTTTCTTCCACAGTCCTGAGATTTAAGTTTCAGCCAGTTGATTAATACGATATAGGAAGCTGACTAATGAACACTTTACAGGTAAACACCGTTTCTCTTGAATTGGCCTCTGGGCTATTGTATGTACAAATTAGAAATAGTGTGTCAAGTATTGAAATTCGCAATTAATCTTTATTATTGCTCATTTCAGACTGTTGGTGCTGTACAGAGGTGACTACTGTACATGTTAAGAACTTCCAGCTTCTACATGAATAACACCCAGAATTTACTAGACACCGGGCCAGTGAACAGCGACCAATGGGAAACTGTTTCTCTTGTTTCAAGGTCCCTCCACCACCTGACCCGTCCACAAACTCTCCCATGGAGAAGGACAAGGAAGGTAACAGTAGTACTACCCAGAATCTGTGTGCTGTAGGG